TTTTAGGTTGACGCAGATGTCTGCTAACCCCCGTAAACTCTTCCGGTCGAAGGATGAGATGAGTGCAAGATTTGCTATGTATGCAACATTTTCCTGTCATAGACAGGTCGGATAAACGCATGCCCTCTTTAGTATATTGCATCTGTCGTGCTTCCCCCCCCGTGTATGGCTGAAAATTTCGCGCAGACACCACCACAACCAAGCACCCAAGGCTGTGCACACCTAGCAGCCGTTGCGGACCTCTGCTCTCATGAGATTTCCAACGAACTTCTTGGCATGAACATGACCTGTTTTCTCTCATCCCATCCCCACCCTCTCGTTTTGTCTGTGACCTTATGCCCCTCTTGTGGACCCGCCGCATGAATGCAGTCTCATCGGACGCTGTCTCGTGTCCGCAGCCTCAGCTCGCCCCCGGTGATATGGCTGTCCCTCGTTCTCGCCGTCGGAGGTGCTGCGGCCGCCGCTCCTTCCTGGAACACCATCATTCTCACTGGAACTTACTTCTCTGTGTACAGCGAGGACGAGGTACGGCCCCACTCCATTGACACTACCTATTTTTTCGCCAACAAGATGGCCGTTTCATATTTCGCCTGCAATACAGCAATTCCAATCCCCGATCCAGGCTTTGTCTGGAGGCGTGGCGCGTTGTCCTATTCTTTATGAGTGTGTGCGAAACATGGAGTTGAGTCTCGCGTTTGTCTCTTGTGTGATATTGTCTCTTGTCTAAACCTGTATCGTTTCAATACTCGTGTGCGTCGGTGGGTGGTCGGTCGATGCAGCGAGACCTTATCTGGAGCGTTACCTCCCGCTTCCTGTTCGAGTTCATCGTCGGCATCTGCATGATCGCCATCGTGACCTGGCTGTTGCTGTTCCGGATGAAGGAGATCAAGGAGTGCTGGAAGGTGCACACCCGCATCCGCTACTACTTCGGCCTGACTCTCATCGCCACCGCAGTCAATCTTGTTCTCGGAATTTTCGGCACCGTGTACATCGTCGGAGGACGCCAGAGGTGAGACAGATTGATCCTTCATGGACACAATGGCCTTAGTTGTTCGTGCGGGACTTGCTTGAGAAGACGACGCAGACTTGACGGCCTTCCGCCTAACTGTAGCGACGACTTCACGCTGTGTGTGCCTGCCGTACAATGTGGCCAGAAGAGAAAAACGAAGCATTGGGCGTCTCTTTACCTCCAAGCTGGAAGGAACCACATCACATGAAAGATTGAAGGTTTTCCCAGGGAGATAACGTTTTTTTCTTCTTTTTTTTTTGTTCTTCACTTCAAATCAGCGCTCACAGCACTAGTGCCGTTTATTCCAACCCGTGGTCACACAGAAGAGCCTATCTCTACCCTCCCCTCCTGCGGTACTTCGCCTTCAATTTTTAATGCGAGAAGAGTTCAGCACTCTCTTCCCTCTGTGTACACACGAACTAGCGCTATCCACTTGGCCAGGAGCGGAAGCGAGAGAAAAACTCACTTTGCAAGAAAAGCTCGCCTACGCCGGGATTCGAACCCCTGACCTGACCTCTAGAAGGTTACGAGGCTACCAACTAGACCACCGGGGCGACCGGCTTGGGTGGGTGTGACTCAATCACAAGACGATTGCATCATGAAGGTTGCCACGTGACAAATCCGAACACCATGGCTTAAGTGCGTCTATCAGTCGCTGTGTGCATCGGGGATGTGATGATGGGTGTTGGAGGAAGGCAAACAACACGGTGTGGTCATGCGTGGACACAGCAAGCTCTTTACGAAAAAACACCGGCAGAATGAAAGCACGGGATGTAGGTATGGGTGCCTCGTCCAAGCAGTGTCGCGAAGCTTAACAGCCACTGCACAGGAGATGCAGGTGCGAGCGTGCGGGTGCAGCGCTCTTCACGATGTTGCGGAATATCTCAGCTCCCGCTTGGGGCTCCAGCCCGCGACAGCGGATTCAATCGTGACGGAGAGGGCGGTTCCCGTCGGCGCCGCGAAGAAAGAGATTCGATCGGGGTCCCCTACTGCGGGGGCCCGGAAATCGTCTTGAGTTGAAAGTTGCGCGAAACGCCCCGCTCTCTGTGAGGCGCCCAGTCCTGGAGATTCAGATTGATCAATACATACTTACTTCTGTATGGCTCCCCTTCCGGGAGTTTAGTGACTTGCCTCCCGGGGGCGACGCAAGAGGACATGGGCAATGTCACCACGGTCACATCATTGCATCTCGACGTTCGGTAGTGCCGGTTTTCCGTACAACCTGTAAAATCGCGTGACGTGCGGGGCATTTATTTTTTTGTCACGTGACCTTTCGCGTAGGCTACTTGTAGCGGCGTCTTCGGCGCAGATGCTAAATACTGCTTTTAGCACTCTGCGTTTGATCGCTCGCTCCTATGTAAGCGCGTTGCTCATCGTCTTGTGGTAACGTTTAGGCGTTAAGCGTTGCGAAGAAGTCACAGCTCTTCCTGGTTGTGGCGAAAAGTTTTTTGGCAGTTTTTGACAAGGGCTTTTTTGGGTTAGGAATGACTCCCCGCGACATAGAGTTGGTCGGAGTCTCTTTAGGTGTCGATTGCACGTGCCACGGATGCCTGGCGATCCTCGGGCATGCGCGGTATTGGTCATGTACCGACGAGCCCCGTGCGTACCCTTGAGAGGGAACCACTAGAAACGCTTCGCTGCTGCGAGAGGCAGTTGTTCCGAAGCACGAAAAACATCGAAACTGTATGCACACATGCACTTAAATAGCACCAGAGCGAATCCCACAAGTCATGTCAGTAGACATGTTGCAAGGCTTGTATTCGATGCACGTTAAAACCCATGGAGCGACTGCTACATTGTTTTCTACATTGTTGAACGGTAACATGCCTCACCTCCCCCCACGCCGTCCATTGGCTTTTTACATCGACGCCTCCCCCCGGCTTCCGTGGGCTTCGCGTTCCGTTGTGCTGCCCTTTGTCTTCTAGGGTTATCCTCATTGTGATATCGTGGTCTTTTCGTCATATTCATATCGCGCTGGATACCATCGTCCTGTACGGTGTCCTGGGGGCACCGGCGAGACAAATGGATGAGCGCGGCGGATCGATTTCCTCTGATCCCGCCGTCGCTGACTCGGGTTCCCGAAACTGCAGCAACCCGGGGTCAAGCACAGGCGGCCTTCGGAGTCTCAGGAGGTTGAGCAAGCGAAGCTCGAAGCCTCGTGTACCTCCTGCTCGACAGGCTCAAGGCCGCCCGGACGACATTCTCACCACCATCCGTCCGTCGCAGTCCGATTGATTGATTGGTTCCTGAGAGGTCTCTGTAACCTGCGAGCAAAAAGCGGGCTGTATGTAGGTTTCGGCGGGAGGCTGAAGGAAGGGTTGAGCTTGAAGTCGTCGTTTGCTTTTTAACGGAGTGCCACCGTTCGCAGGGCCAAAAGCGACATGTTGTGTTTGCGTCCGATGTCCGAGGCATTCTCTTGTTGTATGACGAAGGGCGGCGGCTGCGTATTTGTTAATTACCACGGACGGTTTTTTGTTCAAAGGTGTGGAGAGTGCGTTACTGCACTGGCGGGTACATGTATTGTTCTTGGCGTGAAGGTTTGTGCTTGAGGGAAATTTCGAACGTGACCCGCCCGCTGGGTGTTTTGTGTCTGGTGTTTCGTCAAAAGATGCGTTAGATGCTGAGGGCGTGCGTTCGTGGGAAACCATGCGGTGAAGGTGGTGGTTCCGTTGGTTTTTATTTACCCTTCCGGTGACGTCACTGTTGCCTCTAGTAACGGTTGAGGGTGGCTTGTTCACCCCATGGCCAGTAGTTGATCTGGCAATGCTTGGGCATCTCACATCCACGTTCAGCCCCGAAACGTGTAGGCGTGGCGGAGATGACATTCAAGAAGATTGCGTCTTGGCCGTGTGGAATGGAATGGACGCCGAACATGCCTCAACTCGGTATTGCTGCAGGTGTACGAGACGTTGTCCCAACGACTGCGGTAGATGACGGCCGCACCGAACTTTTGTCATCATTTTTCAGGGTGTTGTGTGACCTCGTTGTGTGACCACCAGATGGATTATAGGCGGTGACCTAGTGGTGGGGGGAACCTCGATTGGGGACACTGGCGTTTGGACACAATTGTCGGGGACAGAGCATGCTCCACTACCCTGCGTGCCTGACTGCCAACGACCTTGTTTTTGGGTTCGTTAGTACGACATTCTCTTTACGCCAGGGCACGGGAGGATCTGAATCCTTCCGCAGAACGTCTGGCGAATACCTCTTTTTTTCGGTTTCTTGGGTGGCGTTAGGATAGCGTATTTGCGTCTGCTCTTTTTCTTGCGTGAGACTCAGCGTGGTCTGTCTGTTTTGATGCCGTGTTCGGAGTTGGAGCGATGTGCTCGTCTCTGGTCTATTCTTAGTTTACTGCCCGACCGCGCCCTTGTGGCTGGGTTGGTTGTTGTGTTGTTTCGTCGACGTCTTCGTCGCCGTCGTTGTTGTTGTTGTTAATTGTTATTGTGGGCTCTGTTTGGACAATTTACTACGAAAATTCGGAAGAGTTTAGTGTTCCTCCAAGACGTTTTGTTGCAGCCAAAAGGGACAAAGTTGAGACGTTGGTTGAATCGCACGGTCGAGGGCAGGGTTGGAACTAGGCCACCATAGCAGTGCTCCCGTGGAACTATTGCCGGGGGTAGTACTAAAGCTACGTCCGGTGCTCAACAATTTCATTGCGTTGCGATGTATACCAGGGGAGCGCCGGACGATGAGATGTCGCTGTTCAATTATGCTCGGTGTGAATGTGATACGTTTGTTGTAATGGCCTGATGGTAGGGGTTCGTTAGGCTACCGTAGGTGGCACACGCTACCACCCCCCTTAACTGATTTTCAGTGCTCGATCACTCCACAGTAGAACGAGTAGCGTTGCCGAAAATGAAGGTGTTGGAATCGTCTCCTCGGGATCTTTCCGAAAATTCATCCTTTGGTTTTGGCGTCCTCTTCGTCGTGGAGCATGTACAGTCGATCGTTGGATATCGGTCCAAGGGGGTTTGGTATTTTAGACTACGTGAGGCATGCATCTTAGGTTGCCATTTTGCGTGTGTTGATTAATAAGAACAAATCCATACCGCCCCAGTTGGCAAGAAAATGGCAGCAACCGGAAAAATATGCGCTCGCCCTGGTTGTCAACAAGCGTGCATCGTATGTATTCGGACGGAGCCGATGCAGACCGCATGTGCAATGGTGTCTGTCTTCTTGCCTTTGATTGTCTTGTCGAAGAGAACGCGTTGTCACAGATCATCAATTGTGTGGGCATGCCCATGCATGGACTGCCCATGGGTGTCCCATGGGCGGTTAAGCAAAACTGTTAGTATTTAGTGTGGGAGATTGGATATAGACGGGGGAAATATTAAAGCCATCAGAGAGTTGCAGCCTTGTATTGTTCAGAAAAATAAATGCGTGGGAGTTTGCGACTACAGCACGTGTAAGCGAAATGTCATTATAGCTACATCAGTACTGCCCTTTTGCTGTGTTCGCAATGTCTGGCCTACAGCAGTACAGTAGTATGTCGTAGTCGCTAGCCACATCAAAGATCCTACCAGCTCACGAAACGGAAATCTCTCTCCACCTCCACCGCCGTCTCTCTCTCCAATCAACGTCACTCTATCTCCACTTCTTTCTCTTCCTCTCTACCAGCTCTGTGCTTCGAGTTCGAGTTCGAGATGGGGTTCTGCGCTAATTGGATCGCCCGAGTTGGGCTTGTACCCTTGTCTGAATTTCTTGCTCCTTCCTCGTGCAGCTGTTCCCCGCAAAGGGCGGAGAGGTCGATTCCCCCCAAGCTGTCCATGATGTCGTCTGTGGTTTCGGGAGTCTACCGATTGCGCGTGATTGCACAACCCTCGGAAAACTACTCCCTCCCGCGCTCAGAAACCGAGATTCGCACTAATGTAGTGTGAAAGGTAAACTGCCCGGGGTGCATCGAGCCCGTCCTGGATTGTCCGCCTACCCAATGCCCCAAGTAAACGCAAGGGCGGGCTTGCTGCACCACGCGCACTATACCTTTCGGAAACCTTGATAATTGCGGGGCATAATCTTCATTTGAGACAACGTGTCACGCTCCGTCATTGAGAGACATTTGCAAATCCCCTGCAGTCGCCTCATTGAGCAGATACATGTGTACCGAGCTCGTTCCAATTCTACGTAACTATTCCAAAACTTATGGCTGGGCGGCCTAGCCGAATGTCTGTGTCTTGGCTCGACCTGCTTGTAGTCGAGCTTTGAAAATCGGTGTGTGTGGGGGGTGATATCTTCTTCTGCGGCCTGACAGCCATTCCTCTATCCGCCAGTGCGCAAGATACTGAGTGAGTGTGAGTACTGTGCACACTCAATGTGTACGAGATCAATCGAACACCCTGCAGCTTGCAGTTTGTCGACAGGTCTGGGGCGTCGAGACCTCTTTTGGTGGTACCTTATAAAAAAAGTCTACCCATTACGCCCGAACCTTGAGTATATGTATATTCTCTCAGCAAGCTCGCATACACTCTTCGCTCCACACGGAGTACAGTTGTTCTCCAAGCATCGTTGGTCATGTCCACCTACGAGTCCAACGCCACTACAACGCTCGTCGCCTGCCGCCCACCAACAACCCCCCGTTACCAAGACGTGCGCGCGCATCCACTTCGTGGACTCGATGGGATGCATCCCTATGAAACGTTGTTCCGCCATGTGCCGTAGCAGAGACCAAGCGCAAAACCTCACACGCGTTAACCCACAGACAACCTGAAGAAGGTTGTGTGTTTCTTCCCATCTTTCAGATCAGATTGCTGCCTCAAGCCCGAGCGTCTTGGTCGCCCGCGCTCCCGCCCCCCGTGGTGCAGATGCGCCCTTGCCCTCATCTAGTTCGCACGTTTCCACCCCCCCCGCGAGAGTTATGCCCCTCTGCCGAGCAGTGTCTCTCAACAATTCTTCGCAGGGACGGGCAAGAGAGAGATCGAAGCGGTTGATGTCCGCGACGGTCTTTTCGGTGGAGCCAAGTGCAAACGGGGACGCTGCAGGGCCATGCGCTGCTACAACCAAGTCAAACCAGCAGCACCGTCCTGACCCCCCAAACCTGCAGCTACTTTCTTTTTGCCCCACGCTCAGGAATAAATATGGGGGAAAATCTCGAAGTGGACACCCATCCATCACCTACCCATCGTTGAGAGCACTCGTATCCCCAAGATCCATACCTAGAAAGTACCACACACACAATACCACACTTCCGAGAATCGGGGGCACTCACAACGGCAGGCAAGCGTTCTCGACAACTGCAGAGGGTCGTTCGGAAGTCTGGTGGCGAAACTACAGATGCTTTCTCTTGGTAAGCAAAAACCAACCCGTTCTGCAAGCCCACACCACGGGAATCGCCCATGACTTCGACCATGCCTTGTTGCTTCAAGGATGCGGCATGCGTTGAAGAGAGGTGGAAGCTCAGAACCTCCACCACAGACACGTCTGTCAACTCCACACACCATCATCACCGTCATGATACAACTGAAGGTTGATGCTACGTACAGCTTGCACAGGGATCAGGTGACCACCACCTACACCCACACGCTTCCGCTCGGGAGGGACATGCTGAAGAGTCATGCATTTGGTCGCGGTTGTTGGTGAAGCTCCCGAATCGACTAAGTAAGCCGCCTCAACACCAACCTTGACTCCTACTCTACCAAAAGACGCACACCGGGGTGAGACTTGCCTCGCGGCACCGATGGGCCGAGCAGAGGTGGAGGTATCCCGAGGGTGGAGGCGAACCAGGACTCCTGCGAGTATATCTAACACACCCACGAGCTGAGACTTGCTTGTATAGCCTGCTATTTGGACGAGAAATCAGACTATGGACCATCTAGAACGCAGACATGTTTGCATATTACCCTCGAGCACCAAAACCTGCACGCCAAGAACAGTACGCCACTCACCACGAGCAAGAAGCGACCAACTCTACACACGGACGGTTGAACCCGACATTTCCGTGGAAAAGAACAATATGCCGCCTCTGTCCGTCGCCCAACAACGACATTCCTCGGCATTGGACAAAAAACCGAAGCACACAATATCTTGCCCTCTACCCTACGGCACGGGAGCCCTCCCGCACAAGCAAACGGTAACTTCAACCTCAACCCTTCCTTCAGCTTTCGCACGCCAGGAAAAACCTGGAGATCACTCCACGCAGGGACCAATCAATCGGACTGCGACGTACGGCTGGCGGTGGAAGATTCGTTCGGGCGGGCTTGTCCCCGTCCGATGGAGGGGGCGCGCGGATTTCTCGAGCTTCGCTTGGTCAACCGGTTGAAACTCCGAAGGCCGTTGCTGCTTGACCCAGAGTTGCTCGAGCCACGGGATCCCGTTCCATGCACGATGGGATCAGAGGAAGGCGAGCCGCCGCGCTCATCCACTTGTCTTGCCGGTGCCCCAAGGACACCGTAGAGGACGATGGTATCCAGTGCGATATGAATGTGACGAGCAATCCATGATATCATGAAGAGGTAAAGGCTTGACAGCAAAACAGAGAGACACAAGGGATTGCGAGCCCGAGGAAACCAAGGGGGGGGGGGGGGAGGGGGCGTTGGACGGCGCGCGGGGGGAGAGTCATGCTGCTGGTGGATCCAGCCGTCACTCAATGATGGGCAGCGACTACTAGCAACATGTCTACCGAAGACTGGTGGGAGAGGATGATCTCCTGTGTCAATACCTACGGTGCACGCAGATACATACAGTACCGCCTGTGGGAAAATGTAGCGATTAGGTTTAAAAGTCGTGATGGTTGGTTATCAGGAAGTGGGTTCATGTGAAACGTGTAGAGCAGAGGAGTGCGGCGTGACTACGACGGATGCCTTGGATGCCTCGTGTCAGTCAAGAACAATGAGAGTGGTGTGGTGTGTTTTCCAACGGTCTTTCATCTCTATGACTAGGAAACAATCAAGAGGGCTCTTCAGAGAAAAAAAACACCCTTGCGGTTGACGCGGGTTCCACACCCCGCAGAAATAATACAAATGGGAAGGGGCGCATTTGACAGCCGCGTGGATGTCATCTGGCGGGACGACTATTTCGCCTACAGAATAGCTGAGTCACCACTGAGGATTGCTGGCGGTTCGGCTGATGGCGAACGTGCCTTGCAGTAGTGCCACCCCACTGATAAGACACAGCTTCGGCGCCACACACCTTTCTGTAAAGCAGCGAAACAACCTTGATTTAAGACAGGTCAACCGTAGCACGTATTGACAGTGCGATATGCCATGGCTCCACCCAACCACACGCTCGTTGCCTTGACCCCTTGGAGGTAGAACAATGCTCGGCGGTATTGCTGGTCTCTTCGTTTCGCCCTGAACGCTAGATACAGCGTGAAGCCCATGATACAACCATCTCCTGGTGGTCAAGTTTCTGTCATTTGTTGTCTCGCATAGCATGACCACACTCACTGCTGAGGCGAACCGACGATGTAGATCGTGCCGCACACGCCGACAGCCAAATTTACGATGATGCCGATGAGGGTCAGGCCAAAGTAATAGCGGATGCGGGCGTGCATCTTCCAGCACTCCTTGACCTCAGTCATCCGGAACAGCAGTAGCCAGACCGCGATGGCGAACATGCAGATGCCGACGAAGAACTCGAGGAAGAAGCCGGCGATGAACATCCATTCGTTTGTTCGCTGCATCGATCACCCTTCGCCAGACGCGATGATTGAACCAATACAGCGTGCCACACATCGGCACCACAGATGAAACTGTGAGACTCAACTCCATGTTGTGGTTGAATGAAGAGATAAAATGTGAGCCCGGTAGCCCGACGGAGCCATTTTCGTAAGAGGACCTCCAGCGCTACACGCAACAATGGTGATCCGTGCATTGCAATGTTATAGTACATTCATGTGGCCACCTTGTTGGCCAAAATGCGACCTCATGGGCGTGTCGTCAAACCTTGTCTCCGTTTGTCGTGAAGAAGTAGGTGGCGGTGAGTATGATGGTTTCCCCGAACGTGGCGGATGGCGCAGCGATTCCGATGGAGAGCACGATGGAGAGGAATATCACCGGGGGCGAGCTGAGGCTCTTGACAAGAGACAGTGTTCGGTGAGCCTTCATCCACACGGTGGGTTGACGAGAGGGGTGGAAGGACACAGGCAGAGAGAGGAGATGGAAGAAGAGAGGTCACATGGTCAGTGGTTCGGCGAAAGACCATGAGCAGAGGTTCACTACGGCAGAAAGGCGTGAAGAGGCTTCGTTGGGTTGGTGGTGTCTGGGAGCGATATTCAGGTGTAACGCTGGGGGGAAGCACTACATACAACTGGAGTACGCGTATCCGACCTGTTCACACAAAGGAAAAACCATGCGTGTGCGTTTTCCACATATTCTTCTTGCGGCATTTTCGTGGTGGTCATCACGCAGCAAGCAACAGTACGCAGTTGCAAAGACTACTCTGCTTGCTTACCATGACGATGGGGGCGAGGTTGACACAGATGGCGAGGTTGGTGATCGCCAGCATGTACCTCGAAGCCAACTCGAGAAACATGATGGCTTTATTACGTGCTCCAGGCTTGATCCCGCCCAGCAGATCGATATCATGGTTGACAGTGTGTGTCACGACCAGAAGCTGAAAGAGCAGACCACTGATTTGTAGACAAGCAGGGACAGCGGCCGGTAGCACATCGTCGGGGTTCAACACTTGCCAGGCACGAGACGGGAAAAACAACGATGTTGCAACCGCAAACCTATCCCAAAAACACTCCGTCGTAAGCATGAGCGTATGACATGGGACTCAAGAAGAAGGTGGGTCTGCGTAAGAGCACGACCAGCCGACACATCCGCCAACGGATATCCGGAATACCTACAAGCTGGGCACCCGAAGTTACCCCCAAGCACTTGTCCGCGAACAGATGGTGGGCGGCTTGTAGGTATTTATTCGGCATACCGTTTTGGTCATGGCTCCACTAGGATAGTGAAGCCGCCACTCTTTGGAGGTGTGATGCTTGTTTAGATGTGGGATACCCATGACGCTCATGTGCCTGCGTAACGTAGGAAGATGACGACACACGCATGCCAGCGTTATCTCGACGTCCGTGGTTTAAGATTGCATCAAGAACTCGTAAGTGATAACGGGAATAGCGATACTCTCTTGAGACCACCCTAGACGACATCTATAGGAGTAGGATGGGAGGTTGGGTTGTCCAGTGCGTCCTGGGTTGAAACTATGCAACATGGTTGACGGTCCCGCGTACATTCTAGCATAGTTACCCGTGTAAAAACTTGGTATACATGCATCTGTTCCAGGCTCCACCACTACAGTAGGCGCCCGCGCTAAAGAACCTCTTTTGAAGTGTTGGCTGAGGCTGGGGTTCTTACTGGATTCCTAGGGTCATGCTACGATTGCCCGCTATACAGGTTATGGTGGAGGGGATCTTAACCAAAATGGTGCTATAGTTCTTAGGTTTGTGATTTCGAGGCTATATCGATTTCTTGGCTGCCAACTGTACTGGAGCATCAGCAGCAACAGCGCACCTCGCTCCTCGGCTCCTTTTTTCCACACGCGAGATGTGGAATAATTGCAGCATACATCTACACAGCGTCGTCATGGCGGTTATGTACGTCCATCTCAGTCAGTAAGGAGTGCGAGAGAGGAAACAACAGACGATGCGGATGGACGGTCGATGTCCTACTGTACGTGTACTACAAAAAAACAGATGCTTTTTCAAAACCTGGGTGGGACATCTACGAAATGCCATGTATCAATAGAAATGTCTCTTCACAATCGAACCACCTACAGCACACATTATGGGTATGCGTGGGGAATGGCATGGCCCGTGCAAACCTGGCGGTGAACATGCCTGGAGCTAGTACGGGGACAAGGATAGCATCACGTGGGCTTGTTTGGCAAAACATATTTGTTCTGCTCGGAATCGTGGGTCGAGCGGGAGCGTTGGGTTCCATGCATCGATCGATCGCCGTTTTCCGACATGTCACCAGCTGCCAAAGTCTGACTGTTGGGGGACCTTGTTCTGGTTTTGCTCATTTCTCGGTCCTTTTATTTCTCTTCTGCGTTTCATAAGACGCCCTCTGTTGGGTTTGTATTTTTCAGTCTGTGTCCACGGAAGGCTTCCGCGCGAATTGGACCCGTACTGACGTACTATGCGGACGTTAGAAGGCACTGAACAGAGATCGGAACGTTGTTCTCCGTAACATCTTCTGTCATAGGCCCCCCCTCCCAAGTCGCCCGAAGAGTTGTTAAAACGTCGTGGTAGCCCCGGAGGGTCAACTCGTCCTTGTAGCGCCCCCCTACACTAGCCCAAGGGGCGGTAATTTTTCGCCGAAGTCGCTGATGGAGGGGAACAAGTTTGACTCCGGCACAGCGCACGCACCCCCACATACCATGAGCAGTACTACGGTACGAACTTAAAACATGAGAGTGAGAGCCACAATAGCTGGGTACAGTAGCGGCAAAGAACCCCGCTAGCCGACCATCCACGCATGGACATTAATATACAAACGTGCACACGAAGACGCGCTGAGTAAACCAAAATGGTTCTAAACACATGACACGAGGTTTCTTGAGGCCGATCTCCCACAATACTGGCAGTTTTGCTATAGCGCATGGGCTGCCCATCAGCCGTCCATGGGTGGGCCCGTGAGAAGCCCATGAACTGCCCACGAAGTGCCCACCGTGAGCACTTCAACCTGGAAATCGCCACGGAATATCAACCTACAACTCAGCCAGCGCCAACCTAGCCCGTGTCATGTGGGCTTGGGGTTAGGGTTAGGGTTAACGATAGGGCTAATAACCGTTTTAATGCCCATTCCCAAGCAGTAAAGCCCATTTTTTAGCAATGCACTGGTTCCGGTTGAAGGGCACTCGTTGGCCGCTCGCGGGCTGCCCGGGCATCCCCGTGGATTACCAAAACTGGTACAAAGGTTGTGAGACCCCTTGAGGCGAAATATGTTGGTAAAACTCGAAGCTAGCAATACAGAACGTTGAGAGACTTAATTAAGGCACCCAAGCTGTGTACTAACTCTAACCAACCAAACCCTCTCGGGAGGCATTACTCTAAAGTTTTTGGTGGTGTCCCCCACATTTGTATTACAGATGGACGTATGCAGAGAACGCCGTTCCACCCTGCTACCACCCTGCTACCACCCTGCAACCCGCAGTAGTATAGTGAAAACTTTATTTTCAATATTTGAACTACAGACTACATTTATCGTGGCGACTCCGGCGAAAGGCTACATCCAACCACACCACAAGTGTATCTGTTTGTCTTGTGTACTGGTGGTGCAGTCTTCTGTTCCAACTCCCAGGTCCGCCCCAACCCTACAGCATTCGTATTGTTTATTATTCGATGTCGTACCCGCCGGTCAGTCGTTGGAATCAGTCAGGTGCAACAAATCCTTGAGAAATATCTCTCCACGACAACGATGTGTTGGGTGGCGATGGTCTGTCTGTTGTATACGATCAAGCTTGGCTACCACAGCCACACCTGAGCCAGTGGCTGAAGAATATGAGGAGCTTCTTGATCGACTTGCGCCGGCTGATCCATGCCGATGTTACCGACATGGGCCAGAGTGCACAATACAATGGTGGGGATCCAGACCGCTTCCCAAGGCTGAAAACCCGCAACCAATGTTTGTGTGTGTACACGGCAGGATACAATTCTCCGAGATCTCCGAGGGGGTTACGCAGATTATATAGATATGGGTATGATAGACAGACTTGGTGCAGCAGGTTTTGCCTCTTCTTGCTCACGTCTGTCACTCGTTAAACTCTCTAATAAGCAAGGAACTTGAGTCACTCCTTTGTGCAACACGCTCTCGACAAGAGCCCGCGAGCGTGATAACATAGTACACGCGCCGACACCCCAAACACGATATCGTGGAGTCAGCTGACGTCGGTAGGGAAAGGTTCGGGAGGTAGGCACCGGAATACAGCAGTTGTAGGCGTAGGAGACACATTGTGCCGCGTTTTATTTATTTTTTTGCGGCGTAATTTGGCGGAGCAAGAGAAGAGATGGCGAGGGAGAAGGACATGACGGAGAGGGAATATGGGCATCTATCGGAGAAGAATGATGCACCGGCAAGAGTAATGGCTGCCGGGAGAACGTCTACCTGGGCAGCTGGTGGAGCTGGTCTCGGTACACAACGGGTGAGCATGATGAATGACGGAAATTGTGCGTTGAGCGGCTACAGCAGCAGTCGCATACCGCCCAAAATCCCGAAAGATTCAGCGAAGGCCGTGAACTGGTTGCGGAGATTGCGGATTTTCCTGGCTAGCGAGGGTTTGGAGCAGACGCTTGAAGACACCAATCCCACTGGCTATGTTCCTGTCATCAGCTGTTTGGATTGCATATATCTGAACCGGGTTCATGGTGCGGCGCTCGTTACGGCACACAAGCGGGCGTGGGGATATCTGTTGGAAGCAACCTGCGGCACGGACATTGAAGAACGGTTGGCTGCTTGCGACTGCGTCCCTGAGGCGTGGAGGGTGATCCGCGAATGGGTTTTGCCTACTTTCGACGCCGAGAAGACATTGCTTGTGCGACGGTTGGAGGCAGTTGAGATGTCCCCTGGCGAGAACCCGAAGCTTTTCTTTGCCAGAGTTGATGGCATCATCAACATCATGCGAGCTGTCGGCATTGAAAAATCCGAGCGGGAAATCGTCCACATCATTGTTCGCCAGCTTTCGCCCGAGTACGATGTCGAACGCAAGTCTATCCTGGCCGACCCCACCATTCCCCGAGCGAAAGTGGAAAAAGTTGTTCGCACGGCACACGCTAACAACGTCGAGATCAAGGAATTGGGCAAATCGAAGGCGGTCGGTGGTTTGGGGTGCGGTCATGGCGGCGTCGGTCAGAAGGGGAAACAACGGCGGCAGCAGCAGCAGCAGCAACAACAGTGGGTTAACCCACAACCACCACCTGTACACCACCCACCTCCTAATTTCCCGACGTGGGGATCTGGGGGGCTCTATGACTGTGGGCGCAACGCCGTGTACCCGCAAGAGGAGTCAGCTCCGCCGCCAGGCGCTCCGATGGGTGCCGTTCATCAGTGCGTGAGGTGCGGGAGGCATGGACACTCACTCGGCGACTGCAATGCGCCACGACGCTTTGAAGGCCACTGCACTGCCTGCGGTGAGTATGGTCATCGGCGCCGCATGTGTTGCACAACCGGCCGCATGCAACAGCACGTGCATGTCGGTGATGGAGAGGGTCTCAACGCGAGTGGCAACGACACTATGCCGTACCAGCAGCGGAAGCGACGACGCTGGAGGAGGCACAGGCACAGGCGTCAGCCGGAGTCGCTCCTCCCCTTTGCAGATGGAGCGGTGGCATGGGGCACAGCAACTGCTGTGGGAGCGGCGACCGGTGGTGGTGGTTTCCCCGCTACGGTGGCGGGGGGAACGGCCGCGGCGCAGGCACTCGCGGCTGGAGCGGCGGCATCGGAGGCAGCCACGGCGGCGAGAGCGGGGACCCCCGGCAACAGAGTCTTCCCCGCGGCGGCGGCAGGGGGAACGGCCGGGGAGCAGGCACTTGCTGTTGAAGCGACGGTATCAGTGGTGCCACCGGCGGCGGCACCGGCGACGGATGAACTCGAAAGCATGAAAGAAGAGCTTGCTGACATACGGAGGCAATGGGGGGAATTGGCGGCCAAGAAACCGGCACTGCATGTGCAGCCGGGCCCACCACTTGCGTCGTCAGCAGGCGTGGCTTCAGCAGCGGAAACAACGGTGGGGACGACGACAGGTATTGGTGTTTTCCCCGGCTCGTCGATGGGGGGAACGGCCGGGACGCCGTCAGCTGCAGGAACGGTGGCACTGGAGGTTTCGTCGACCTGCGGCCAGATACCCCCCGCCGTATCAACTGGGGAGGCGATCGCAGTGCCCACATCAGCAGCTACACCGGCACCAGCAGCGCAAGAAGCGGAGGACGCGTGCGATGAGGATGGCTGTTGGTTGGACAATGGCGACGAAGGCGGCAACAGCAACGGCGGCAGCGGCGACGGCAGGTTCGTGGCGTTGTCTGCGGGTGCGGGTGCGGGCGCGGGGCATCCCGGCGCCAATCCGACCGTGTACAATGGTATCTGCGTGGTGCGGGACGATGGGGGGTAATGCCATGGCTGGACATTCGATCGTGGCTGGAAGGGTGCGGCATGAATTGAGAGGCTACGTGTTCGGGAGCTACCGTGCGAGATGACCGGTGGTTGCACGATGAGTCTACGCGCGATTCAGGCACGTTTGTGAGAATTATGTTCATTTGGCTTTCTATTTTCTGGGTCGATTTTGTTTGTTGAAAGCCATGAGTTTGAGAACTGCGTCGACGTAGGCTGCTGTGTTGCGATGCGCACGAACGAACGTGGTGTTTATGGTCTGTGGTACATGTGTTTTTCATTTGTCAAGGATATGGTGTGCATCGTCTTGGACTTCACCGCGCCGAATGGTGCAGTTGATGTTGTTGGGTCACTGCTAGCACTGCTGTCGAAAATCATGGGGGGGGATGAATGTGATGCTGAGATGCCATGATCTTCGCCGCAGTACAAGCAGAGTTCTAGCGGACGTTCGGGTTTCATTGTTCATTTTGTTCACGTTTTCCGCGTTTTACCTGCGGAAAATGAGGAGAAGCCCTCAATTCTTGTTTGTTTGCGATTCCGCGTTTACCTGCGGAGTTTGAGGCAACTTCATGATACTTGTCTGATTCCTCGTTGCTAGGATAAGAAATACATTTATTTCTTGTTTATTCGCGATTCCGCGTTTTTCCCGCGGAGTTCGGAGGTAACTTCATGATATTCGTTTGATTTCTCGTTGTTTGGATCCGAGAGTTGTTGCAGCAGGGGGGCTGTTAGCGGTTGTGTTTTGGGAGATGATGCAGCAGGGGGGCTGTTAAACTTTTATGTTTTGGGCGATGATGCAGCAGGGGGGCTGTCAAGAAGTCCATGTCTGGATGTTTGAGAAACGGCATAATAATTGGCGAAAGTTTCCTCTGGCGTCTTTGAACGCCGGGTTTTTAACGTTTGTCTATTTGTGCCGCATGTATTAGGTATTGATGACTGTTCTGAACGATGTATTGGAGGAAGGATTTGACATATTTTGGTAAGACATGGTTGAGGCCTATGTGCTTCCGAAGCTTAGTTCAAATTGGTCAATGAGTTGAAACACAGTTTTGTGCGAGGGTTTTGTTCGAGGTATTTGTTGACGCGTTTTGCCAGAGTTGTCCGTCCAGAGTCTTTATGACGTGGCTCTGATGTAATGTTGATCTTTGCTGAGTAATCTTCCAAGGATAAATCTTTGTGTTTGACTACTTGAGAATGTGGTGACATTTTCTCGAGAGGGGTGCTTGTTAAGACTCTTAGTGAAGTTCCATAGTCGTAGGAGGAGTAGTAACCTGAAACTTGAATATTCGATAGATCCGGGAGTTGAGATGATTTATTTGTGGATACGAAAGATGAATGGTTTTTAGATTTGTTGCCGTTTTACCTGGCGTTATGTACGGAGGATCTCGTAGATCGTATCTCGTACCGAGTAGGGGGGCTGTTTGTGTGTGTACACGGCAGGATACAATTCTCCGAGATCTCCGAGGGGGTTACGCAGATGATATAGATATGGGTATGATAGACAGACTTGGTGCAGCAGGTTTTGCCTCTTCTTGCTCACGTCTGTCACTCGTTAAACTCTCTAATAAGCAAGGAACTTGAGTCACTCCTTTGTGCAACACGCTCTCGACAAGAGCCCGCGAGCGTGATAACATAGTACACGCGCCGACACCCCAAACAACCAAGAACCCGGTTTTGCACTTGAGGGTGAACTACGGATGGATTTGCTTTCTGCGGGAGAAGAGCGGTACAAACGTGGTGGCGGCCTTTCGTTCGTGGTAGGCCTCCGTCAAGTCTACCCACGGGGGGCTGGGCGTGTTCTGACCGACAACGGCACCGAGTGGGTCAACGCGGATTTTTGGGGGCTTCTGGCGGAGCTGAACATTACGCGGGAGCTCACGGCGGTCGACGGGCCCAAGAGCAACGGTCGTGTGGAGCGGAGGATTGCGCTAGTGATGGAGGGGGGCAAGGCTGCGTTTCTGGAGTTCCCGAACCTTTTCCCCGGAGTTACGTTCCCGGCCAAGGCGCTGTCCTTCCGCGCCATCTGGCCCGAGGCCTTCGCGTGGATGAACGACTCTCTGAACATCGCAGTGGAGGCGAGCAAGGAAGACAAGCGGTGCACGGAGGTTAAGCTGTACGGCAGGAGGAGGATCCGAGTGCTTCTGCCGTTTATGATGCCCGACTTCCATCACCGTCATCGCCCGTCCAATATGCACAGCAAGGGGGAGCGGTGCTTCTATCTGAACTCAGGCCAGGATCATTCCTCTACGACGCACAAGATCATCACGCCGGCTGGGGTGCCCACCACGTACTCCGAACACTGCACCTTCTACTTCGGCAGCCAGGGCTTTCGGGGAAATGGGCGTTCTTGGGAGTCGGTAGGGGGGGGTGGCCGGAGGCCCCGAAGTGGCGGCAGGAGCGGCGGCATCGGCGGCAGCTCCAGTGGCGACGGCGGCGACCTCTGGTGGCAGTGTTCCTCCCGCGGCGGCGGCGTGGGGAATGGAAAGGGTGGTCACCGGGGTTTCGTCTTCGTCGTGGAGAACAGGCAGTAGTCAAGTTAGAAATTCGAAATTCGGCCCAGGGCTACCTACCGTAGGGCAAGGATCTACAGATTGCAGGCCGGTAATCATAAATTGCGGGCGAACGTTGTAGTCTGATGTCCGTGGTCCGTGATGGTGGTCGGATGTATCTACGTATCTTGGTATCTTGTGTCTGGTGAAGAGTTCATCTCGGAACAATTAATTAGCTGTGGCTGATGGCTGATGGCTGATGGATGATGGATGATGCGCCAGTGGTGCACTCTTACGTACCACCAAACTCACGAAAGACTTTGCCATCTCGGCCTGCCTCACACGCACAAGCTTTGACCAACCCGAGACCTACCTTCATGCATTTGATACGGGAACCAGTAGCTCGGACAAACTCGGACAGACGCATATTGTTGCGGAAAGAACAGTATTCTTGTCACATGGTCTCAACAATAAGGTTCAGTATCAGCCCAGCAACAAGTTGTTCACAAATTGCTGTAGGCTGTAGGGTTCAAGCCCACTGTCTGTAGTATAGCGTACGCCGTGCAGCATCGGCATTAGTTCTCTAGCTGTGGTAGATAGCACCATTGGCGTCATTCGACGGACAGCAGGGGTGGCTGGCTGTACCCGAGATCTACATCCATGGCGTCGCCGTCGCCAGCCTCTCTCGAAGATCACGGATCCAGTCTACACAATAGCTCGACCTCGAGCCAACCGGGTGAAATTAATTGCTGATGTTGACGTCTTCACCCTCAAGTGCGAAACCGGATTCTTCGTTGCGGGCCTTCAGCCTTGGGAAGCGGCCTGGACTCCCAATGCTATGCTGTGCACGCTGATCACCATGACCGTGACATCGGCATGGATAAGCCGGCGCAAATCTATCAAGAAACTCATCATGTTCTTCGGCCACTGGCTCAGGTGTGCTCTAGACCGCGTAGACGAACAACCTTTGATGGCACCATAGTACAGCGGCACCTACCTTGAAGACTGGATAGGTCGAGCCAGGAGCAGTGAGCACAGCAGGTTCCTTACGAAGACGGAATCACAAGGGCCACTGCTTGCTACTGTTTTCTACCCTTGCTTGTTGGTGGTGCTGTACAGAGGCCTTCCGTGTCCATATCGCGGGATGTATTCTACAGCAGTACGATGGAGATTGCTGAAGGATTAAGGAATAATAAAAACACACACAGAAAGACTACCCATTCGAGATACATACCCACAGTCGAACGGGATGTGGTGGAGTCTCTTCAGTGATTGATATACTTCCGAGGAGTGCTTCCGCAGTTAGCACATCACACATCATACCAGGCTGGTCAACTGGCTTTTTTCGGGACTCTGCTGGCATCAAGTTTTGCATTCGCGGAGTAACATTTTTTGCCCCAACATCAACCGGTCTTGGGTGTGCGCGTTGACTGCCGTGTAACTTGAGAGTAGTCTAGCGGCTTCTGTGCCGAACCGCCTCCTACATATTGTGCCGGGTTGTTTTTGCCCCCTCTCTCCTTTGGTTGGTCCATCCCAACAGTAGTGTTCATGCTCATGGTCGAGATCCGAGATAACAAGCCGCCTCGGGTTTGCCCCGGGGGTACTTTGAGAAGGGGTGCATGCGGGGAAGATTGAAAACAAACACCGGACGACAACGCGTTGACAATCCTTTCGGTGATCTTGTGGGAGGGGGGGCACAATCTCCCACACTACTGACAGTTTTGTAACCCGCCCATGGGACACATGGGCTGCCCATGGGTGACCCAATGGGTATGCCCATGGGTGGCCCATGAAGTGCCCATGAAGTGCCCACCGTGGGCGCTTCACCTACAACTTCGCCACCG